GGCAGAACTCAGAAACACTATTTCTCTATGATCAGTTTCAATTAATGTCTGAAGAGCTGCTAACAAGACACTAATGAAGAAACTCCTCTACTAGAGCATGTTCTTATCCTGCTGACATTTCTTAGTGTTAACACAGAAGATGACCGTGCTTACAGCCAACTGAAGCTCCAGCACATGTGTGACAGCTCAAAGGCAGGAACTGTTTTTGAGAAATGCTATATATTTATTGCAGGGTCTCAGAGCAGCTAGAAAGGAGTGTTCTACATCCAGAGTAACAGCTCACTAGGGCTGGTGCTTAAGTCTTTCCCAGACATGACCCAAAGAACAAGCAACATCTGTCATGAGGGATTCAGAATCTTGCTGCTGGATAAACTCATAATTAATGGGAGTCTCTCCAGAAGAGGACCAGGTCAGACCGAAACAATTACCACGTAGCAGCTGTTGGGTGTCTTCTGATTAATTCTGCCGACAAGACCAATGTCAAAGCCATCACTGTCAACGGCAACTAACCAGAAAATCTGTTTGTAATGCATCAAAAGCAATTTACTGCTCAGTGCTTTGCTGAGACAGCAATCAGCACACTTAAAAAAAAAATCTTATAAAACTGAATTTTGTTTCAAGCTGCATGATTTTCAAAAAGCTGACTTGCAAGTCCAAGCACAAAAACCAGCTCTGTTCTAAGCTACATTTCTGCATTTGTTTTTTAAGAGTATTTCTTGCAAGTTTGTGTCTTAATACTCTCCTCCCTTCCTCTTCTTATTCTATTTCACACTGCAAAGAAGACCTCTTATGATATTCGTACTGCTTCTGTTGAAACAATTCCTATTGCTTAAGATTAGAAACCTCACTACAAAGACCTCAAATTTTACTCAGAGCTGCTATTGCAAAAGCTTACACATAGAACATGCATAAATACACAGAGCAAGGACTAAAATCTGTCCCTACATTTTCAGAATAAATTAGAGACTTCCCACAGCATATGAGAACAGTGCTCAAAATCTGTTTTATTAAAGCTGCTAAGTGACAAATGTGCTTAGTTTAACAAAAAAACTGTAAAGGGATACCTCCATAATTTGATTTGAGCAGGGCTAACGCTCAGCTCTCCTTATTACAAATATTATGACTACTTATGTTTGGTGTTGCAACCATAATTAACACAAAGCTTTTCTTACATGGGCAAGCAGTCTAATTGAAGAAAACACATTTCCCCATAAGTAAATGCCATCACGAGGCTTTCATTTGATGTCTGCTGCCTGTAATCTAAAAGTACAGCATTATTTCTTTATCTGCACCAGAGCCTGTAACTGGTTCACTGCACATTCACACAGAGAAGCAGCTCAATGAAGGAGGCAGCAGGGGCTTGAGAATAACTGATCAAGGACTGCCGAAGTAGCAAACAGCACCACTGCTGAGTCTGCTGCCACAACCTAATGATACTGGCAAATAAACAGCTTCCAAATATCTCTGCCTTCTTGTCTCCTGCTTCAAAAAGAAAAAAGCTCTTTTCAAAAACATCCATTGGAGTAACTTGAGGTTAAAAACTGAAAAAAAACAAACTGAATAAATGGATGCAGACTGTAACTGCAGCATTTTCTCAGCACCTGCATCATTTAACTGATCATAACCAAAATATGCAAACACTCAGTTTCAGAAATCCAAATAATAGAAAAAAAAAAAAGTCAACAACAATTCCAAATACCAGAAGGAAATGAGCTGAGACCAAAGGCTTCCCTTACAGAGAATATATGGTCATGCAAAGTAAGAGTGTGCTAATGGATTATTTTGGTAGTTATAACATCTGCTGCAAGCTTCCAATTCATCTCATTTCAGCATTTCTCAAGCTGTGCTTGTAACAGATACCAACAATATTTTGTTACAGAAAAAAGTTGTATTTCAAAGACTGCTTACACACTCCATTCAAAAAGCCCTCTGTGGAACATAAAAGTTCACACTATAAATAATCTGTGGTGATACAAAGCAGTGAGATCCACCCACTCATCAGGTATATCCATAAACAATGTTGAAGAATGTAATCCCTCAATACCACTGGAAAAAAAAAACAACAAAACAACAAGGGAAAATGAGAACTGCAACTGCCCATTCTTTCTGTAAGGAAATGTTTCCTGTTTAAACAGTTATTTTGTACTTCCACATCAGCTTTCAATGAAGAATGTAACAAAGCAAAATGCAAGTATTCAATCTTCACACTTCTTTTATTTTTCAATGGGCCAAAGTTGCTGTGGAAAATAAAATGATTACCTAACAATTCAATAGAAACAAGAGAAGCAGAAAAGCTAAAAGACACTCATTTCCACGTCTGTTCCTTTTCCTACTGCTTTAACCTATGCCATTTTTCCTGTGAAGTTCAGTATCTTTTCTATGAATCTCTTTAGCGGCCTTTGCCCTACAGACTGCTGCAGAAGCCTCATCATGACTCACAATCACACTGTTTCTTGCTGTACCAAGCAATAAATACTGATAGTGGTTTAAATTAGAGAAGACAAGGTGATCATGTTTTTTTCTGTGCAGCAAACAGATGGAGGTTTTGCCCTCTGTTCAGCACTTGAGAGACTGCGTCTGAAAGGTGTCAGTTCTGCATTCAAAAAGAGACCCTGACTTTCTGGATGGTGCACACAATCCAGGAGAGGCCACCACAGCTGGCCAGGATGCTGGAACCAGGACCTAAGCAGACAGCCTACAAGAAGTGATTTTGTTCAGGCTTTGGAAAAAGGTGCCTTAGAGAGACCAGAATGCTAAAGGAAATGGAGACAGACTCTTCCTGGATGCGTGGAGAAAAAATTCCAGTGATCACAAGCTGCAACAAAGGAAATTCTAAATAGACAAGGAGAAAAAATTTCCACCCTGCAGGTTGTTTAACACTTGAACCTAGAGGCCTACAGTGCCTGTGCAATCTCCAGACTGGGAGATGTTCAGCACAGTTCTGAGCAGCCTGGTCTAGTTGAACCAACTTTGAGCAGGGATTTCAATTAGATGGCCTCCAGCAGTCTTCTCAAGGCAAGGGAGACATTAGACAACTTTCTGAGATTTTTTAAAAACATTTCTCATTATTAGATCTCAAAGCGTTAGACCTGAAAAGCAGCATTTACAGATGTCAAAACTGAGAGAGATCAAGAGAAAGATGAATTAATTTTCACTAAGTCAACCAGGAGATGTTGTTTTTGTTGAAACAGGAATGAGTTTAAGGAGATTATATTCTATGATCCCCTCCTCCAATAGCCCCATTGTTTTTCCACTTCAAGGAACTTCTACATTGACACTACCCACTGCATTACTGATGAAAAACTCCTTTTACCTTAAGTGATGTATTTGGGTCATAAATTCCACCCTACCAGCAAGGGAACAATCTGAATGACAGCTTGGTTAAACTTCTCTGTGCTGGTTTGTAACAAGAATTTAGTTGTTTAGGCGCCTGTGGCATCTTAGCTCTGCATATTTTGCTCACCAGTCTCTGTTTACCCTGGCTGACAATAAGACAGTAAGCCACTGTCCAGTCCTTCCATCTTTCCAACTGTTTGGGAGCAACATACAGTCATCTTTTATTTACTTACACAGGTCTACCCAGCAGTTAAGAAAGAGTGGTACAATGTTACCAGGTCAGGTGAACAAGAAAGGATTAGACTTCCTCTACAAGAAGTAGTTAAGTCCCTACAAATTCACAGACACGTTCATAATTTCGTTTCTTCTTTTCCTCATTTTCATAGTTTATAGCTACAGTTGTATTCCTTCTGCTGCTTCCGATGATTCAGAATTTCTGGAACTATAAAGCTATACAATATACTATATTCCCCTATGAAGTAATGTTTTCTTAAGACAATTTCTATCTTCTCTTGTTACCTGCCAATCCTTGTTCAACTTTCTCCTTACCTCATCATAATTATTTAGTGATATTTATGACCTAATTTGTGCAGGTAGCCCTTCCAGTACCCTTATTCTTAACATGAGATCTAACTCATAGAATAACTTGGGTTGGAAGGGACCTTTAAGCCTATCCAGTTCCACTCACTGCCGTGAGCTGGTTGCCCCCACCAGATCAGGCTGCCCAGAGCCCCCTTCCCACCTGGCCTTGAACAGCTCCAGGCATGGGACATCCATAACTTCTCTGGGCAACCTGAGCCTCACCACTCTCTAATTAAAGAATTTCTTCCTAACATCTAACCTTTATATATGTACTTCATTATTTTTACTCCCCCATCATTGGGGAATTGAAATTGCTATTAAAAAAAAAAAAAGGAAAAAATCATAAGTGAGTAGATAGCCTTCTGCTACATGCTATGAAAACCTGATCACTAGCACAAAATGACATTACTCAAGTCTGAATCAAACCCTGAAAGTAACTTAACAAGTTATCAATAAAGAAAATGTGATGACACAGTATTTTAGAACCTTGAAAATGAACAGCTGTCAAGAGACACCACTGACTGAAGGTCAAAACAAATGGGTCACACAGACTTACTATGGAGTGAATATAATCTTTAAAGCTCCTGAACTCTCTCTCAGACTTATTTCATTATTCCCCATAAGAGTATCCAGTTTATCACTGTGATGGTCACCAAAACATTTTGTCCAATATAACAGCACTGAAGGCAAACAGAACCCAAGTATTTTGTGCATTTTGTTTTGAAAGCTTCAGTAATCTAGAGGAGTAAACTTCAATTTGAATCCACAAATACTGCAATAAATGATCTAAATTATCAGATAACAAAACTATCTTGAAACCTCCTCTGAATTTTTTTAAGGACAAAATAACAAACGCACAAAAACTAAACAACATAATAGAGATTTTTGTTTCTTATAATCTTTCTTAGCCACGATAACCTTACACAAGCTAGCAAAATGTTTGTCACCAAAAAAGAATCACGAACAGTAACTCTAAACACAGAAATGTTTTAAAGGACTATTTTCATGTTGGTTGCAGACCATCCAGAGAAGTAATGGTAAAAATATAACTTCTTCTATTTAACCTGGGCTATCTGGATTACCTGTTTTTCTTCCTCTGGCATATCTTTTTCCAGTTCTATTAAGTACTCCTCATCCAGTTCTGCCTGCTTCCTTGTGTTATTCTCATCATTCTGTGAATTTCCCTCATCATCCAGTACAGGCTCTTTCATCTCAAAGGAGTCACGACAGTCATGGAAACACTCATCTGCTGTGATGGGATCTTTGGCTGAAGATGGTATATTGCCACTTTCCATGTTTGGAGGATTCTGGGCATCTTTGGGGCCAGATGCCCATGAGCTGGTGCTCTCTGCTGACTTCTCATCAGAAAGCTTTAAGTGATCGAGCAATTCTTCTGGCGGATGTCCATTTTTCACCTCCTCCATGTCAGACTCCTTGGTTTAATTTATAGAAACAAGAGAGATATAACCTTCCATTAGCTTAACACAAACATCTCGACAACAAATACTCAAAGTGCTTATGGATACACCTAATAATAACCGATACCATCCTAAGGAAGCCATAATTCCTCCAGAAACCATCACCTTCCACGGTAAGGCAGATCTAAAGCACGCTTTTTCAAGACACTGCAGAACTAACCGGGGCCATCGCCGATCCCACACCCGAAGCACGCTCCCGGGGCGCTCAGTGCCGGCCGTGGCACAGCAGCAGGCCCCAGGCACGCACTCTGACGAGCCGTGGGCCTCGAGGCCCCCGCACCCAGCTCCAGGCCCGCGTTTCCCACACCTCAGAGCCCAACCCCGCCTGCTGAGAGGCGGCTGTGCCGAATGCTCCCCCTCCAGCCCCCCTCGCGCCGCTCCGGGTCCCAATCCCACACCTTCCCTCCCGGCCGCCGCTGCTCACCTCTCACCCTTCACCTCGCGGACCGCTTCCTGTTTGCGCCAGCCAATAGGAGGGGCCGCGCGCGGGCTGCCGGGATTTGTAGTCTCGCGGGATGCAGCGGGAGCGGACGGCTCTGCGCCGCGCCGCGCGACTGTTGGGTGCGCGCGCGGCGTCTCCTCAGTCTGAGGCGGGTGCGGGCGGCTGCTGCGCACTTACGGCTTCAAGTGCGCGCGCCCGAGTGTGTGGGAGATGAAAATTGCAGTGCAAAATGAAGCCGTGCCGTTTGGAAGGGGCTGGAATGCCATTTTAAACTCCTCTGTCTGTGAGCACAGGGGTTTAGGAAAGGTGGTACATCCTGAGAAAGAATGGTGGTGGTGAGAGCAGCGCTGGGTGCCAGGGGTCAGCAGTGCTTCCAGGTGGTGTCAGCCTGCATGTTACCTCGTTTCCTAAAGAGAGCTGATCTGTCAGCAGAAGCACTACAGGAACCAGCCCTGCTTAGAATTCCACAGCTGTTGCTGATCAGGGCCAATGTATGACCTTGCTTCCATGTGAGACAGGGCTTTTGAGCTCCTGCACATCTGAGCTGTGGCAGCTAGGGCTAGGAATGCTGTTTTCCAGGAGCTGCAGTCCTTGGCCAGCCCTGCTGCGTGCCATCCAAAGCCTGTCTGTCACTTCCGGAACGTGTGTCATGAGTTTGCTGATCCCATGTGACGGGTATTTTTTCTTCATTGTCACATTTTTAAACAGGGTTCCTCTGCTTATTTTCTGCCTGTGTCTGCTCTGATCTGAAGACACTTGGGGGCTCTCTGAGTGATAGAAGTAGAGACTATCCAGCGATTTTGTTACTCCCAAATGCAACGTAAGGAAAGAGCTACAGTCCCCCAGAGCCTCTGTTCCTAATGATTTTTCTCTCGTGAATCTTTACTCTGGATCTAGCAAGAAGTGCAAGGTCCTAAGGTCCTAGTCCACAACAGATGGGCTGCAGGTTGTGGGTGCTGATGCATCCTGAAATTAGCCTTGAGCATGCTGCAGCTCCGTGAAAGTCTCCAAATATCCTTCCTGTGGAATTGCCCCTCAACACCACTATGAAGCAGAAGCCCAAAGACTTTGTTAATATTCCGTGAATGAACCCACCAGAAGAACCCTCTGCTTTCCATCAGGCTACCAGTCCTCCAGACAGCAAATGAAGAGGCAGATTAATTCCTTATTAGGTATACCAATATAGTCAATGTATGTAACTTCTGTCCTAAATCAGCGCTTAAGAACCTTACTGTCTGTTTGTCTGTCTCACTTTCTCTTCTTTACACTTTAACATTCTTAAAAGAAGTGTTGTTTTCATTGGGTCCATAGTTTGCTTAATATTTAGAAAGTAAAGAAACAAGTTCTCTTACTGTATCTTCAAATGTACACATTTTAGTATGAAACACCCTGGAGATCATAGGGCAGTTGTCAGCTTTGATCACTAAATCTCACTTGTTCAAACACAGAACATGTTACTGCTTTAATCAGACTTTTAGGATCTCTAATTCATTGCTTTAGGCAGAAGTGTATGAATAGCTGAAGCTTATGTATATACAAAAAATGAGATCTTGTTATCATTTATTTAATCTTCTTGAGGTTAGGGGATTTTTACAAAGCAGTGATGTTTGTTTAAGTGAACACCTGTTGAAAAAAAAGAGAACATATAATCCCAAATAGTAGATATGTTTGGTTAAGAGTTTGGCTATGGAAGCTTTAGCTTGTGTTGAGATTTACTCGCTGTTTTGAATGGGCTTACCTCCTGAGGGCAGTAAGGATGTGTCAAAGTCCAAGGTCACTGCGTAGCACAAGTAGAACATTTTAATGCTACAATGCTTTCCACGAGCCAGACGTAAATTGAAGAGGTAATGTCAGACAAAGAGTCTATATCTGGAAACTTTACCAAAACCTTTTTTCTCCTTCCCAATTTTTTTCCCTGTTTCTTCCCAAACCCACAGCTTGCTGGAGGTGATGTAAGCTGGTGCAATCAGCTGATTCAAGCATGATGGAGTGTGTGAAAAGAAAAGCTGCAGGAAGAATGTTGGGTTGACTCTAACTTTGTCAGTAGTACTGAAAGAAAATAGGAAGGAGCAATATGAAAGACTTAAGTTCTTTTGTTTCTGACACTAAAGTTTTCTACTAGACTGTTGTAGGATCTAGACCATCTTTTATTACTTTCAAGAGAATCTTTTACAACTGTGAATGTGGTTCTACAAGTAGGGAAGTCAAGAGGGCAACTGGGAAGCACAGAGCATTATATTCAGGTAATTGAAGCCATGTTTTTAATATTCCTATTCGTTACTCTCTAGTTGGCAGCAATGTGTAATTGCCGTTTGGGAAAATAGCTCTGCTCTTTCATTAAATCTATGGAAATTCATAGCCCAATATCCTTGAGTTAATCCAAACCTCTAATGAGACCAAAGACAGTGAGACTGTGTTATTTTCAAGGGTAAAATTCAGTAAATCTACCAGTAGACATAACATAGTCTTAAATGCTACAGTCCAGCTGATTTTCTGCTGAACAAACTCCTGAGAGCAATGCCTCAACTAAATCTCACACCGGGACGTTGTAGTTCCAGTTTTTTGGCCAGATTTTCAAGACAGTGCTGCACATAATTAGGCATCTAATTACAGTGATCTTAGGGACAATGGAGTGATGCTTTAGTACTGAATTTCATTTGTTTGTTCATTTGTGTGATCTATATGAAAAAGCAAGAAACGTGACCATAAGGAGCAGCATTTTGAAACATTATCCTTGAAATCTCATCCTGTTGATAATAAATAAAAGCAACTTTTTGTTTGGTAAATATTGCACTCATTCCCTCCTGCAGACTTCTGATACCCATGCATTATTATCCCTTTGTGGATAAGAAATGGCTAATTTTTCATTTCAGAAAATTACATTGGTTTTCTAAATATTTCCGCAAACTGTGACTTGTTCAAGTTCTGAGCTCCCATATCTGATGAACAATTCATGTTTATGTAGTTTAAGAATATGTTAATTTTCCCGTTCAAGTTTTAGGTGATCCTAAAATTGCCTTTTCTCTTATAGCATTCTAGTTTCACATGATGTTAGAAGTGCTAATAGGGTTCAAATTAAAGCTTTCAGGATGCTTTAAATGTCATCAGTATTATAGAATCACAGAAGGGCCTGAGTCAGAAGGGACCTTCATGGTCATCTAGTTCTAACCCCCTGTATGGGCTGGTTATCCAACAGCAGATCAGGCTGTCCTGGGCAGCAGTGCCAGTGCCTTACTGCCCTCTGAGTAAAGAATTTCCTCTAACATCTAACTGAAATCTCCCCTCTTTTAGTTTAAAACCGTTCTTCTTTGTCCTGTCACTATTGGACAGCGATGGGACCAAAACCCTGTGTTCAAACAGCCAGGCACTTTGAAGATGTGCAAAGTGAAGTCTTCAGTATCTCTCAGATACTAATATTTACTGCAGAAGGTTCATAAGGTAGAGCCAGTATGAGCCTACAGGCTGAGCGTTGTGTGTTTTGTTTTTCACAGTATACCTAAGCTTTACAGGAAGAGCACTGCAGGACTAGAGCAAGTGGGGCCTGGAATTCTGTCTGTTAAAAGGATCTTTCCACTGCAGCCTGCTTCAGGCCAGCTCTTTGGCCCTTCTGAGTGCAGCTCCTGTCAGCTAAGCATTCCTGTAGGATCCCTGGTCTTGTGTCAATCATGAAAGCAGGAAGCTGATGGGTGAAAATGGCTAATTTACAGCCAATTTATGAAGTATATCTGCTGGAGGTAATTCGTGCTGTATCCTAAAAGCATGCATTACTTGAGAAAAGATCAGACTTGTGCTTCTTAAGGCAGGGATAATGTAAATGAACACGTTTACAAGGATATGTAAGGATTTCAAACCACGTGGCTGCAGTGCTGCTGTGATACCAGAGGAACTGCTGTGCCCACAGCTGGGATGCAGCAGGCTGTATGGTGTGCACCAAAGCTGAGTGCAGCGTGCGCTGCTGAAATTCAGCATTTGGGAAAATATTCTCTCTTTCTTTTTTGAATATTATTGCAGTACACACAAGTTTTGCACAGGAGTTGAATCATTTAAAAATGAAGGCTGAATGAAGGAGTTTCTACTAAAAGAATTCACGTTATCTCCAGAAGTAGCCCAATTTTTCTTTAATAGTTTTTAGTCCTAAAACAGAAAACTGCATTCTCTGTTTTAAAAAAAAAATAAAGCAAAACTCACATAGAATAAAACTTCAAGACATTAATTTATATGGAAACCAAATACCAACTTAAATTATAAGGAGGGGGTTTTCAAAGACACTTGCAGAATTTCGTTAGCTGACTCCTTTCCCTGTTAGCTTACCAATCATAACTCCCGATTCACTGTTAACTTTGGATTGAAGTTCACTGAATTTCTAATGCGTAAAATCCAGGAGGCTTCTTGTTTGTATTACTGTATTTATGAATCTCAACTGGAACAGAAATCCAGCAGGTGGCAGTGTTGGATTTCCAATGTCCAGGTCCCTGTTCCTGTCAATGTAAACCTCGTGTTATTCTCATGGAAATCAAGGCTGAAGATCCCACTTCATAAAATAGCGCAGGGCTGAGCACTAAGCTAACTAACAGAATAGGGATGAGCTGTTCCGTAATTACCTCAGGCCCCAGAGCAAATGCAACATTTATTTTTGGGGACAGCCTTTTGATCTGCACAGTGAAGAAACTAAACCTTAACAAATCAAACACAGAAAAAATAATTACAATTTTCCAGGGTTCATACAGAGTTCGAGTTCTCTGCTGGAATTAAACATTTGCCCACAGCTCTCAGAGGAATCAATTTATTGTGCTTCCCAAAGAGTATATTAAAGAAAATTGTGAAATGGACAATTAAAGTCTTTTTAATCAACTGTAACCTAAAGTTCTACCATATCTACTTCTTAGTGTGACTTATTCAAGTAACTGAGAAGGACTCTTACTCATTTTGACTCTCTGTTCTCTTTTTAGTCCTTGTCTCGGCTGAAGTCTTATAAAGAATATGGGAATTCTGTAATTAGTTGGTAGGGATTATGTTCTTCACTAATCAAGCTAATGTATTTTGACATAAGACATTTCCAGTAACAACACCAGATTTCCTGTTC